TTTTACAGTTGCTTTGCCTATGGGCAACAGCGGCCACTGGGCACATTCGCATCGAGGCGCCCGAGGTGCATGTGGCGCCCAGCTACAAGCCGGCCTTTGTCCGGGCAGCCGTGGAGAGCATGCCCGTGGAGGATGAGCCCGGTGCACTGAGTCGCTTCAGCACTCGACCCACATTTGGTGAGGTGTTCCTGCCGCTACGTAGCGCCGTGGAGAGTGTGCCCAGCATCAGTGAACGGGACGTTGCGCAGCTGCGCGAATCCTCGCCCTTGCGCTCCTTTGTACGCGACTCGGTGGAGGCGCAGCCCAGCGACGATGATGATGAGGATGACGAATCCTTGGAGTTTGCTTCGCCTGCCAGCTATGTGCGCGATGTGCCAGAGGAGATCAAGCAGGAAAAGGTTTCGCATCTGGTAGAGCCAGATCCCTGGTCGGTGTCTGATAAATATGCCGCCTTCATAGCGCCCAGTTCAAGCGACAATTATCAGCCGCAACCGTACCGCTCCGGTTCCCCACATCAGGAGCTGCTCAAGGCTGTGGATCTGGAGCAGCTGGAGCATATCGATGAGCTGGACAGCTATACGGAGCAGCAGTTCTATGGGGCTCTCGCCCAGGCAGATCTCACGCAAGATGGCGCCTACGGAGCTCTCTTACACGCAAAGACCACAACGGAGAAGAAGAACTACAACACGGTGCCCAAAGTTCTCTGTTACATGTCCAACTGGGCCTTCTATCGCAAGGCCGATGGACACTTTGTGCCCGAGCAGCTGGACCCCAAACTTTGCTCAGCGATTGTCTATTCGTTTGCCTCGCTCGATCCGGATCACTTGACCATACGCGAGTTCGATCCATGGGTGGATATTGAGAATCAGTACTACAAACGCGTCGTTGCTCTGGGCGTGCCCGTGCTGATTGCCATGGGCGGCTGGACAGATTCCAGCGGCGATAAATACTCTCGCTTGGCTGCTGATGAGATTAAACGCAAAGTGTTTGCCTCGAGTGCGGCGGGCTTCCTGCAACGTCACGGCTTCAGTGGCATTCACTTGGACTGGAACTACCCCAAGTGCTGGCAGAGCGACTGCTCCAAGGGGCCGGCCAGCGATAGACCCAATCTGACGAAGCTGCTGCGTGAGATACGCTCAGAGCTGAAGCGTGTCAATCCCAAGATGCAGCTGGGCGTGGCCATCTCCGGCTACAAGGAGATCATCAGCGAGGCGTACGAGTTGGCTGCCCTCTCCGAAATCGTGGACTATATGACCGTGATGAGCTATGACTACCATGGCGCCTGGGAGGGACAAACGGGACATGTGAGTCCGCTCTACGGACGTCCGCAGGACAAATATCCGCAATACAATACGGACTACACCATGCAGCTGTTGGTGAAGATGGGCGCACGACGCGAGAAGTTGATCATGAGCATTCCCTTCTATGGGCAGAGCTTTACGCTCGAGCAGAGCAGTCAGCGCCTGGTCGGCGAGGGCATCCCGGCCAGCGGTCCTGGTGATGCCGGCGAGCTGACCAAGCAGCCCGGCATGTTGGCCTACTACGAGATCTGTCAGCGCATACGCAAGCAGAAGTGGCAGACCGGACGGGATGCGGAACGCAAATCGGGACCCTATGCCATGCTGCGGGATCAGTGGGTGGGCTATGAGGATGCGGCCAGCGTGGAGGCCAAGGCTCGGTATGCGGTCAACAATGATTTTGGCGGTGTTGCCGCTTGGACCGTCGATCTGGATGACTTCCAGAATCGCTGCTGCAGTGAACCCTTCCCGCTGCTGAGGGCTGTCAATCGGGCCTTGGGTCGACTGAACACGGAGCCACCCACACGCAGCAATTGCGAGCGACCACCACAGCCAATCACACCGGTGCCACCACAAATGACAACCATCAGCAGCGATGGCTCGCAGGGCGGTGCTCACAGTGATCACACCACTTCGTGGCCCACTTGGGATCAAACGAGCACGAGCACAAGCACACGCCGACCCACTAGCAGTGCGACAACCACACGGCGCACCAGCAGCACTACCACTACTCGACGACCCACTACTAGCAGCACCACCACCACCACCACCACAACTCCCGCCTGGTGGACCAGCACAGCAGCACCTATAACGACGAGGCGACCCGCCAAACCAAAGCCGAAGCCAACGAAGACAACTGCACGACCTTCCCACACCACTATACCGGCGCCCGCTCTGGTCTATCCGGTGGTGCAGGCCGCCAACTGCGAGGCTGGAGAATTCTATCCAGATAAGAAAAACTGCAATTCTTATTACCATTGCATAATACCGGGCGAGCTGCGTCAGCAATTCTGTCCGGGTGGCTTGCACTGGAACAACGAGGTGAAAGGCTGCGATTGGCCCGCCTCGGCGCAGTGCACGGTGAAGAAACAGCATACGAGCACCACCAGTGGCATACCCGTTACTAAGAGCACCACTCAAAGGCCCAGCAGCAGCACCACCAAACGTCCCACCACCACCACCACCAAGAAGCCGCGCAGGCCTTCGACATCCGTCAAGCCCAGTCGAAAGCCCACAAAACCAGCTCAGAAACCTCAACAGGCAACTAGCACCACCCGTAAACCGAATCGCACCACTCGACGGCCGCGTCCACCCACCTCGTCCCGCTGCAACGAGGGCGAGTACTACACGCACCGCAACTGTGGCAAATACTACATCTGCGTGAATGGAGCGCTCGTGCCGAGTGAATGCGGCAGCGAGCTGCACTGGGATGCCCTGAGGAAGATCTGCGATTGGCCGGAGAATGTGCAGTGCGTGACCAGCAAGAAGTATCTGCGAATTGTGCAGTCCAAGGCCAGTGAAGAGGATCCCTGCAATGGGGAGGAGCGTGTGCCCTATCCCGGTGACTGCTCCAAGTATTTGTTCTGCCTGTGGAATCGTCTGCAGGCGGCGGACTGTCCGCCTGGCTTGCACTACAACGAGGCGCTGGGCAACTGCGACTGGCCCGTGGCGGCGCAATGCAAAGAGAACGGCGCAAGTGGTGCAGCCGGCAGTAGTAGCGGCAGCTCAAAGCCCAAGCCACCGGCTGCAGCTAAGCCCGTGCCCACCACCCAACGACCGAGCACCACACCACGACCCACTTATCCCACGGACAAGCCACAACTCCAGCCTCTCGATGGCTACTACAAGGTCGTCTGCTACTTCACCAATTGGGCCTGGTATCGCAAGGGTCTGGGTCGCTATACACCCGATGACATCAACACGGATCTCTGCACCCATGTGGTTTATGGCTTCGCCGTATTGGATTACTCGGAGCTAACGCTGCGCACTCACGACTCGTGGGCGGACATCGATAACAATTTCTACACACGCGTCAGTGGTCTGAAGAGCAAGGGCGTCAAAGTCAGCCTGGCCCTGGGCGGCTGGAACGATTCCCAGGGCGATAAATACAGTCGCCTTGTGCGCAATGCTGCGGCTCGTGCGAAATTCATTCGACATGCCCTCGACTTTATCGAGAAATATGGCTTTGAGGGTCTCGATCTGGACTGGGAGTATCCGGTGTGCTGGCAAACGGAGTGCAACAAGGGCTTCGCCGATGAAAAGGAGGGTTTCACCGCCTGGGTCAGGGAACTCTCCGAGGCATTCAAGCCACGAGGTCTGCTGCTCTCTACGGCCGTATCGCCCAGTAAAAAGATCATCGACGCCGGCTACGATGTGGCGGAACTTGCACGCTACTTTGACTGGATTGCCGTGATGACCTACGACTTCCACGGACAGTGGGACAAAAAAACGGGTCACGTAGCGCCTTTGTATCATCATCCGGATGACGACTATGATTACTTCAATGCGGTAAGTAAACGCTCCACTTTATTGTTATGCAATTACTAAATTTCTCTGTCTCTTAGAACTTCTCGCTGAACTATTGGATAGAGCGGGGTGCTCCATCTCGCAAGATTGTCATGGGCATGCCTCTATATGGTCAATCCTTTACGCTCGAGAATGCCAAAAATAATGGACTCAATGCCAAGGCACCAGGACCTGGTCAGGCGGGTGAATTTACCAGAGCCGCAGGCTTCTTGGCGTATTATGAAGTAGGTCTAATCTAATTTCTCTTCATATGAGAGACATTTTCTTCAATAGATGTAACTCTAATCATTTCTCTATAACGACAGATCTGTGAGCGCGTCAAACACCAGGGCTGGGAAGTGGTGCAGGATGAGCGTGGTCGCATGGGTCCTTACGCTCGCAAGGGCACCCAGTGGGTCTCGTATGATGATCCCGCCATGATACGCAAGAAATCACAGCTGGTTCGTGCGCTCAATCTGGGCGGCGGCATGGTTTGGGCATTGGATCTGGATGATTTTCGTAATCGTTGCGGTGATGGCGTGCATCCATTGCTCAGGGAAATACACGACGTACTAAAGGATCCACCAAGTGGCTATGAGCCAACGCGTAAGTCGTGATTCTAAATTCTTATCAATGATTCTCGTTAATTTGAAGTCATATTTGAATTCCCCTAGCTGGTCTAACTCCAGCAGAAATTGAATCTGTGGAGGAGCAAGCCATTTCGGCGGAAGTGGGAACAGCATCTGTGGAAAGTGAAGCTGGACAATCGTCACAGGAGAAACCTGCTCAAGAAAGCAGCGAAGCTGAGGAAGTTGAAAGCGAGGGCGGTGAGGAACAGGAGGAGGAGGAGCAGGAGGTGGCAGTCATGCAGCCACCACAGCCAGAAACTGGCTCCAATTCTGAAGACTCGAGCAATGAGACAGCCAACAATGAAAATGAATCCGTCAGTGCTGAGGTAGGCAACAACAACAACAATAACAACAACGAGCCGGAATCATCGCAAGAAAACGAAGTTGATCCCAACGAGGATATTGAAGAGGGAGATTTCGAAATGGAGAGCGGCTATCCCATTGCCGACTCCGGCACCGACTATAAGGTCGTCTGTTACTTCACCAACTGGGCGTGGTACCGTCAAGGCGGTGGCAAGTATTTGCCCGAAGACATCGATGCGGATCTCTGCACGCACATCGTTTACGGCTTTGCTGTATTGAATCGCGATAAGTTGACCATTCAGCCGCATGATTCGTGGGCCGATCTGGACAACAAGTTCTATGAGCGCGTAGTCAGCTATCGCAAGAAGGGCGCAAAGGTAACCGTAGCCATTGGCGGCTGGAACGACTCAGCTGGTGATAAATACGCTCGCTTAGTCAGAAGCGCATCGGCTCGTGCCCGATTCATACGCCACGTCATGGACTTTATCGAGCAGTACGGATTCGATGGCCTCGACTTGGACTGGGAATATCCGGTATGCTGGCAGGTGGACTGCAAGAAGGGCACCGCCGACGAGAAGGAAGGCTTCACAGAGCTGGTGCGCGAATTGTCGCAGGCCTTCAAGCCGAAGGGTTGGCTGCTCTCCGCCGCTGTCTCGCCGAATAAAAAGGTCATCGATGCGGGCTACGATGTGCCAGAGCTTTCACATTACTTCGATTGGATCGCAGTGATGGCGTACGATTATCACGGACAGTGGGATAAGCGTACGGGTCATGTGGCCCCCATGTACGATCATCCCGAGGGCACTGCGACCTTCAATGCCAACTTCTCGATCAACTACTGGCTGGAGAGCGGTGCTGAGCGCAAGAAAATTGTGATGGGCATGCCCATGTACGGCCAGTCCTTCTCACTGGCCCAGGCCAGTGCCAATGAGCTCAATGCACCCACCTATGGCGGCGGTGAGGCGGGCGAGGCGACGCGTGCCCGAGGTTTCCTGGCCTACTACGAGATCTGTTCGTATATCCAACGACGCGGCTGGAATGTGGTGCGCGATGCTAGAGGTCGCATGGGTCCCTATGCCTACTCGCGCGATCAATGGGTGTCCTTTGACGATGCGCCCATGATACGGCACAAGAGCGAGTATGTACGCGCCATGGGCTTGGGTGGTGCCATGATCTGGGCCCTGGACCTGGATGATTTCAAGAATGATTGCGGCTGCGAATCGTATCCACTGCTAAAGACAATAAACCGCGTGCTACGCGGCTACCCAGGACCACATCCCAAGTGTGCACTGGAGCCGAGCGAAAAGACAATGGGTGGGTGTTATTTAGGGGTGAAGCAAAAGACTTTTATTAAATATCTATAATATATATATTTATTTACAGTTGCGGGCGACAAAGGCACGATACAGTCAGCCAAGCCCACCGTTAACACCGTCACTCCGGCCAATATAGTTGCGACTCCAGCTGGGCCAGCAGAGCCTGGTCAGCCCATAGATTGCGGTGGGCGTAACTATGCACCGCACGACCGCGATTGCAACAAGTATTACATCTGTCAATATGGCGAGTTTATTGAGCAACGGTGAGTCGAAAGTCTCCGAAAGAGTCCATAATGCACTATCCTAACTCGCTTTGAACTCCAACTCCTCTCGCCCTTAGCTGTCCCGCTGGTCTGCACTGGAACGAGAACTACTGCGACTGGCCCAACAATGCTCAGTGTGCAGTTCGCTCGGATCAAACCACACAGCCGCCAGTGGTGCATCGACCTAAGCCCACTAGCCCAACACCCACTCACAAGCCCGCCACGAAACCCACTAAGAAACCCTTTACGCCGCCCAATAAGAAACCCATAGCGCGACCCAAGCCAACGCCAGCTCCACCGCTGGGCAGCAATGAGGCGTACAAGGTCGTCTGCTACTTCACCAATTGGGCGTGGTATCGGCCCGGCCAGGGCAAGTATTTGCCCGAGGATATTGATGCGAATCTCTGCACGCACATCGTCTACGGCTTTGCGGTGCTGAACGGCAACAGTCTGACCATAAAGACGCACGATTCCTGGGCAGATATCGATAATCGATTCTATGAGCGCGTCGTGGAGTACAAGCAGAAGGGATTGCGGGTAACCGTTGCCATTGGCGGCTGGAACGATTCACTGGGCAGCAAATATGCTCGTCTGGTGCTCGATCCCAAAGCGCGTGCTCGATTCATTGAGAGCATTTTGGTATTCGTTGAGAAATATGGCTTCGAGGGCTTGGATCTGGACTGGGAATATCCGGTGTGCTGGCAGGTGGACTGCGCCAAGGGCTCGCCAGCTGAGAAGCAAGGGTTCGCTGCTCTTGTGCGCGAACTATCCGATGCCTTCCGACCACGTGGACTGCTGCTCTCCGCCGCCGTCTCGCCGAGCAAAATGGTCATCGACGCGGGCTACGATGTGCCCCAGCTGGCGCGCTATTTCGATTGGATTGCCGTGATGACGTACGACTTCCATGGCCACTGGGACAAGCAGACGGGTCACGTGGCGCCGCTGTATTACGTGGAGGGCGATGCCAATCCCTACTTCAATGCCAACTATAGCATACACTATTGGCTGGACCAAGGCACGCCGGCTAGTAAACTGGTGATGGGCATGCCACTCTATGGCCAATCCTTCTCGCTGGCCGATCCGAAGGCACGCTCCCTGAACGACAGGTCCGTCGGGCCGGGTCAGGCGGGCACCTACACGCGTGCCGGCGGCTTCTTGGCCTACTATGAGATATGTGAGAAGGTCAGCGCTGGCGGCTGGACGGTGGTGCGTGACGATGAGGGACGCATTGGGCCCTATGCGTACAGCGGCAATCAATGGGTCTCCTACGATGATGTGGCTGACATACGGCGCAAGGCGCAATTTGTGCGCAGTTTGCGCTTGGGCGGCGGCATGGTCTGGGCCTTGGATTTGGATGATTTCCATGGTCGTTGCGGCTGTGGCAAGCATCCATTGTTGCGCACACTCAACCAGGAGCTGCGCGGCATACCCGGACAGCGGGCCAACGATTGCACATAGTAATATTGATTATTATTAAGTGTGAATTACATTGAATTATGCCAATTCCTTAGCTGCTGACTAGGCTCGCAATCTGTTCTCAAGATTTTTGCCAATTAGTTATAAGCACACGATTACACACACCCCAATCAACCACCATATAAATAAATAATGAAAACAAATATAAATTATTATCAATTCAAAATTTTCTGCTTGGCGCGAGTTCATTACATACTAAACAGTATTCTTGAAAGGTCAACCCGTTATTTATATTATATTTGTAATTGCATTTTATTTTTAAACTTATACTTCAAGTCACGAAAACATATATTTAAATAATAAAGAACAAAAATTAACACATAAATTAAAATATTTTTGCTTGGCGGGAACTCATAAAATACTAAAAGTATTTTAATTACTTGCAGCAACTCGTTGGTTAACCAGAGCTGCACTATGAAAAATACCTAAACCTTATTTAGCACTAAAAATTTAGAGTGACCATTAATTTGCATGTCCGAATAATACCAGACAATAGCTATTACACGTAACGACATATCGATATTTGTTATTATTCAATCAAACATATGTATTTAATTTGGGCAAACTCCCATATATATAATTTTCAAACATGAAATAAACAACAAAAAATAAATATTTCATTTAATCTAAAATTGTATCAAACTTAATATGAGCTAACCAACCACATCTGTCAAACATTCCGACCAATATAAAAATATATTATGGAACTTTTACTAGTTTGGTTTTCGTCGTTTAAAAATGCATTGACAATCTGAAAATGCATAAGTTACACCGTGTATGTGCCCCTAATCAGCAATCAAAGATAGACACACAACGCGAACCATCGTGCGTAGGCGTTGTAAACAGCTGTTCGAATCTAGAATTTAAAGCGCAAAAAAAGTGTCCACAGAAACTTAACGGAGAGCACGAGAGCCTGAGAGCCTGCCACCGTCACAGAGAGTGAGAGAGAGAGAGAGTAACTAAGAGTGGAAGCAAGAGAAAGCTTTTCGAATGTGTGCGTATTTTAGCTGAACTTCGGCGCCGTTCAAGCAACGCGTTGACACTCAGTCGAACGGGCAACGAAGTTGCAGACGCAACAAATTTTGTGGTCAGCGGGTCGTGGCTCGGTTCTTAGGCATTGTTTCTCCTGTGGTGGTGCGTGGCAGCGGCAGAGCCCTAAGCGCAGCTTCTGTTATTGTTTATGCACACATACATACAGCGCGCAAATACACGTACACGTATAGACACACGCACACCCAGGCACATGCCAATTTTTACTCATACGAAATCGTAGACAGCAACACAGCGCAGCTATTTTAGTACGCTGCTCTAGTGCTCAGTGACGTCACAAGTTTGATCGCGAAAGTTAAAATTGTATAAGAGTGTTAAAGATAACAGCAACAACAACAGAAACAGCAACGATGAAGCAAATCTACCGCATCAACTTACGGCACTTAGTGCGTCACATTCAGAATCGACAGCAATTGCCCGCCAACAACAATTACCGCAAATTCACCTGCCTGGCGCCTAGCAACACTGACAGCAACATCAGCAGCATTAGCAACAGATGCAGCAACAACAACAACAGCAACAGCAGTCTGCAGCAACATTTGCCCATACCTAGCCGCAGATACTCCAAGTTCAGCACGCACCTGAACAGCGAACGGGCCATGGAGCTACTCTGCAATCTGGATGCAGATGAACGGCATAATTTAAGGGATGCAATGTTCAAGCTGGAGGCGGACAAGGAGAAGAAACAGTACGAAAGTGAGTAGCGCATTTTTCGAATCGATCTACATATTAGATCTTAACACTTAACATTAAACAAAGAGTCAATCAAGAGTTAACAAATACATAAATGAAAGTTAGCACAAGAAGTGCCCTAGTTATAAATTCAAAATTTGAAATGGTATATGAAAAATATACATACATGCATATATTTATGCAAAATCATGCACAAATGCTATTTATAGCAAGTTTTGTAGAAAGAAGTGAGAAAGAAATTTATCAGATAAATGAGGCTTTCGTCAACCTTAATTTTACTTAATATTTTATTTATCATTTTATTACAAATCAAAGTTTTTTTATTTTAAGCTAAGTTATTAAGCATAACCCGGTTAAAACAAGATTTGTTCGAGTATAAGAAATATAAATATATAAAATAATTGAGTTAAATCATATATATTAATAAATACATATATGTATGCATATATTACATATGTATTGATTATGTTTGTATTACTTATGGAGTTCATCAAATTACGATTGTTTTCAAATTGAAAATTATACTATTGGTAATATTCAATTAGATTCAGACATATTTTTAATGGCAGATTCTATTGACAGGAATGGTAGCTATTAACAGAATTACATATGTTAATGGCAACACCAAATTTCCAAACCCAGATCTCCTACTGATAATACTTGCAAAATGATGTGTAAATTTCGGAAATTTTAAATACATATCTACACGCCCAGATCAATTAGTTTTTGCCTCTTGCCTGTGACAAATAATTGCTCCACTTTATTATAAACCATTTTGCCCACTCTTATGGGGTAGAAGTTATAAAAATATGCTTATATTAAACTAGAATTAGGTATACTCAATATCCTGCCGAATTCGTTTGGGTCATATTCGATCGCTGCCTTTGTCTATATGTATATGTATATACATACAACAATAAATGTATATATATACTTAGATCAGTCCACGCTTGTGGGCCTCGGACTTGAAGCACAGGCTGTACTTCTCAGCAGCCTCGCAGTGATCATCGGGCACGGGGATCGCCGCACAGATATCTCCGATCTCCAGGGCCATTTCGAGCTTGGCCGGATCACTGCCTGTATATTGCTTAGCCTTCTCTCGGCCAGCTTCCACATCCAGTTTGCCGTTCTCGCCCAGCACATGGAAGCTCTTCATGATGCAAGCGCGCAGGCATTTGCCCTCATAGGTGCTGGCCGCTTCATGCTTCACGGCGGTCTGGACTTCGGCATCGCTGGCGCCCACCTCATCCTTGCACTGCTCGGCCCTCTCAATGAATTTGGCCAGGGCTTCCTTCTCATCAAAGGCTGCAATCAGGGCGGCACCCAGCAAGGCGACACAGGCCACAGAGTACACAAAACGTTGCATGTTGTTAACTTGGTCAATTTGCAAACTAAACTGTTGTCGTTGATGGCTAAATGTTAAGCTTTTATATTCAAGCGCTGTAGGCTCTCAGCTGTGAAATTATATATTTCGATGCGTTTATCAAACATGACAATATACATATATATACATACATATATAGATATCTATATACTTAATTGTCCAAATTTTAATCTGCATAATTAAATAGTCAAGCCTTAATTATAAGTAGGGAGCGAGCAGCATAGCCGCGCCATGCCGTAGCCACTCCCACTCCCACTCCCTCAACCACTGCCAATGCCAGAAGCAAAGCTTCTATAAGTAACTGATGTCCAATTTGTTCTGCGCCAGCCACACACAGCTTTCCTTTTGGGCGTACGTGACTCCTGGGCGCCGACAACCCAGGAAATCAACGCACAGATTTTCCAGTTTCCTATGCGCACACACACCCTCTCACAGTGCCGTCCACCCTGTGTGCGAAATGTGCGGCATCATTTATTCAACTGATCCAAATATATGTAATTTGCTGGAACAGCCTAAGCGATGGCATCATTAGCATGATTTAAGAGTTTGCTTGTGATTCTTGTACGTAATAGAGAAATGATTGGCAACAGTTGTTAACGCCTTAGCAAGAATTTATGTTGGCCTAGAATTTATGTTGCATAGCAGAGCTAAAATTGTCGACTGAAAAAGTTGCTTAGCTAATTAAGTCCTTGGCAACATTTGATTTGATGTTGATAGCGAAAGGAATTGGCAACATTTGATTACCTATTGAGATGCATGTTGATAAACATTTTTAGCAACATTTTGCTGCTAAATTGGCAACTCATCAAAGACTAATAATGCTGCCTGAGCTAATTAAATCTTTGGCAGCATTTAATTTGATTTGATGTTGATAGAGCAATTAATTGGCAACATTTAATGACTTTTTGAGAAGCATGAGGATACAAATATTTGGCAACAATTTTTGAGTTCATAAATATGTATATGTACATATGTATATTAAAAATGATTTCTGTTAAGAGTACTAAGAGTACCCCTTTTAACTTTATTAAGACGTAAATAGTATATATATAAGTTATTAAGTGCTTTCTATATTCAACAATGGTGGCATATTTGCAATAAATAAACTAAATGTTGCAAACAAAAACTAATACTCATGCTAATAACATATCACAATTATTGCTAACAGTTTTGCAAGCGCAAGCTGAAGCCTTACAGCATGTTTCATTAGATCATGTCGCTAGCAACACAAACTTTTAGCAACTTGCCAATGCCAATGTTGGGATAGGGAATAAAAGAAACAGTTAGCTGGTTTTATGCACTTACTTGTTGCTGAGCATGTTGCTAGCTGAAGCTAAGCTTTGTTTAAGCATGACGTCAAGTCTTAAGAACATTTAGCTAGCAACAAAAGAAGCTAAACATCAGCCGTTGCAGCACCCATCTAAACAAATTGCTTTCAGCGCTATAAATCAGTGTATGAGAGTTTTGCGTTTTACAAGCCGACCAGGTCATTAAATATGCGCATTTAATCATGCATTTGTTTTCACATATCGGATATACACATACATACATATACATACATACATGTGTATATATAGTGTGTTAGAACATGTTTGTATTTACATTTGATTGCTCACAGTACATGGCATGGAATATATGTATGTACATATATACATACATACATACATACATACATACATATGTATCTAAAGGTAACGCATTCCTCTGCTCGTTTAGTGGCTGCTCATTAAAATTTCAATAGCAGCAACAAAAACCACACACAAAACTTTTTGCGCCGCCTGCAGCTGGTTGAAACTTGCCGAAACTGATTTACGCACTGGACGTCGACGTCAGCGTCTACGTCAACGTCGCAGCTGACGCGCAACCAACAGTAGCTTTTATTCTGATGTTTTTTCTGTCTCCCACTTCCTCTCTGTTGCTAACAGATATTTTTGTTGGCTTTTAAAACTTTTTGATTGGCTTTTTTTCTGCTACTGAATGGAAACAAATTTGGTTAGGAACGCAAAGAAAAAAGAGCAAAAAAGAGCAAATATCCAAACTGCATTTACCAACACTTGACTCAAGTCTTCCCTATCTCAACTCATCAGCCAAGAAGTTTCACGAGTTTCCACACGTAATTTTTGCCCTTTTCTTTTTTGTTTGATAAGAACGTGTTGAGTGATTTGATAAATATTTGAGCTAAGCAAATGATACGTGAAACAAGCTCTTAAGCATGTAGCTGATACATTGGGTACTCAAGTGCAAATAAAGTAGTTTGATAAGTAAATGGTTTAAAAGCAAATTTCATTGACTGCTGCAGTCAGATTAATTCAATTTGAGTCTGAAATTCACTTTTTTCAACTCTTACAATTTAGCTTGTAAAATGAACAGATACGAATTCAAGAATTTTGAATAATAATCAATTTTCAAGTTGAATTTATCTCTTTTCTCTGCAATTATTATCAATTTGTTTTAAATTTAAGATGAATTATATCAACTTATTTAAATTTAATAATGAATTAAAAAAAACCAGTGCAAATTTAAAATTTCATTTTCATTTTATTCTTTAGCTGTTATCAGTTTACTTCTTAAATAAACAGATAAAGTCTCAAGTTTCTTGTTATCTCTAGACGCCGAAAGTCTACACAGAATTTTAGCTTTATACAAACTATTTATTTAGCTTATTGGACTGCAAAGACTGCTGCAGTATTACTGAAGCGAAGCACAATAATATTTCCATAATCTTTAGCCGGAATACGGAGGACGGAAGCTAAATTTTGCTTCCGATTGGCTTCGCACTCCTTTGGTTGCATAGAAATGCTCAAGAGTCCCCTGGCAGAGCATTATAATAACATTTGTGTATATATGCATGTATGCATGTATGTATGTATGTGTGGAGAGTGCATATTGTATATGCTGTCAGCAAAGAAGAATTTGCATGCATGTATTTGTGAGCAATCGAGACACGCCATTGGTTGTCATGCACTTTCAACGATATAGAGTGAGACTCCAGTGAGCACGAAAGTCGTAATAAATAATAAGATGCGCGCACTGGTGTATTTAGTGTTATTGCAGGCGATTTAGGCGTTGAGCGTCTAAATTTATTGTAAAGTGAATGTGTTGGCAAGCAAGAGAGAATACGCTAATGTATGTATGTATGTATGCGTGCATTCTTGTCTTCGGCAGTTGCGCCTAACATGCACTCAATCACTCAATCATAAAGAGAGCTTAATGTGCTGACTGCCGAACGACTTCGTCAGTGAGCGCCTGATCTCAAATGTGTATATATGAAGAGCAAGAGAGAACGCGTGCAAGTATGTATGTGTGTACGCTCAGCAGCAGCGCCTTACACGAATAAGAATGTGTAAAACGAAATCAAAGGTGAATACATGTGTGTACGTAAGCTCAGCTGCAATAATGTAAATAACATGGGCAGTCAGCTGTAAGCTCAGACTACAAACAAGGCGATCTAAATATGTGCGAAAAGAAAGCGAGAGAGAATGCTTATATGTATGTGTACACGTTTAGCTCTAGTGCCTTATAAAAGCAGTGAGGCTTAGTTGAGAGAGCGTGATCTAAAAATGTGTAAAACGAAAGCACGAGAGTATGCATGCATATGTATGCGTGCACTTGGCTGCAA